AACACTTCCAGAGAGTTGTAGTGAGAGACCCTAGCCTCCATATTGTTCTTGTGAGTGATTTTTACTTGGTGAAGGAAGTTTGGAGCTTAGAAGAAGAAGGAGGAGGTTGGAGAGTGCAAGGAAGGGAGTAGATCCGAAATCTACACTGTGAGAGGCTTCCATTCAGGTAGAAAAGTTCATACCTTGATCACTAGTTCATTAGATACCATTTGTGTCCCAAATTGGTGGTTTTCAAGCCCTAAAACACCAAAATCAATGTGTTTGTGCTTAATGATCCGAAAGGACTTTAGATCTAGACCTTGTGGATATATTAGAAGCATAAAGTTCCTGTGGATGAAGTGATTGAGGTCCCCATTGAGTGTATGACCTCATAAAGAGCTTGGAATTGCCTTTTGAAGCTTATAGGGCCATGCATGCACGTAAAGTTTGCAACTTCACGTGATAAGCATGCCCTAGGAACATAAATCTATGGTTTTGAAGCGTTACATGTCTCAGATTTGGTCTATATGGGAAATGGGTCAAGGGACACCGCGAGTCCCAAAGTGGAACTCGGCGAGTTAGATGAACAACTCGACGAGTCCTATGAAGATTGCCTGGTACTCAACGAGTTGTTCTTCAAACTCGGCGAGTCAGATGAACAGTTACTGAGTAAGAGTGGTTTAGATGTTGAAGGTCCAACCCTTCGTATTTACACGCAGAATTAGCAATCTAACGTGTTGCAATAGTCCCAGAAACCCAAATCCTCATAAGGGATGCTCTGGTGAGGATTTGGAAGCGAGTGGGAGGTCTGCTTGTATGGATTCGATGAGTTGTTCTTAGAGTCGGTGAGTCGGATCGCGAGCCGGTTCTATCGTCCCAAGTAGTGAGTTAAGGGTGACTCAGTGAGTGGGAAGAGGGGCTTGTAGAGTAGGACCAGATTAGTGGGAGAAGGACTCGGTGAATCAGTGCCATGACTCAGCGAGTCCAATCAACTGGAAGTTGACTTTGACCAAGGAGTTGACCTTGGACCAAGGGTGGGTCAGTCATCTGACCTAAGGGTGTGAATGAGTGGCTAATCTATGTTTATGATTTATAGCTGGAGGATTACCGATTTAGCAGTCAGGCGCTTAGCAAGCAGGCTTTCAGCAGCTACTTTTCAAGGTGAGTTACCTTCTAGTAGCGGTGGGTCTAAGGCCACAATGCCGGCCCACCAGTAGGCCACAATGCCGGCCCACCAGTGGCGCATCATACACACACACTTTGGATTTCCGCATTATGAGATGTTTTGGGATTGTACTATGACATTATTATTATTTTCTTGTTTTGGGTTTTCAAACACGTAATATATTTTATGAAATGATATGATCGGATGATGTTTTTCTATAAATATTTTACAAACCACTTATTTTAAATGAAATTTTTGGGCGTGAAAATTGGGCTGTTACACTAATGATATGCTTGTGAGAGCAGTGGGCTAAGGATAACTTTAAAGAAATTCAAATATGTATATGAAGTCTTTTGGGCAGGAATTCAGTATTGAAATTCGTTGGAATCCAAGATCGGTATGTTCTGAGTAGGCATTCTACGTGTTTTGGTGGTGATTCTAGTCAGGGACTAGGGGTAAGTATGACAAGTCTGAGTATGGTTTTATAGTTAGACTGATGGATGCATAGGCGTGACGTATATTATAGGAGCCATGATGATGGTTGGACTAGGATAACCTTTGCCAGCCGGACCCTTGGTTAGAGTCTTGGGGTACGATCGTGTGAGGGGGATTTAGTCGGTTCGGGTTGCGGATTAGATTCTTTATGAGTATGGTGTGAATGGTTCCATATGACCGAAACACAAGCATGGTATGCGGTTTTCAGATTTCGGGCAGAGTAGTTGGACTTTCTCTTTGTTAAAGGTGGTGTGTTAAGTTTCGTTCCTTTGACAGGGCATGTAACTTCTGCTAAGATTAGGTTTCGATAATTGTATCGGAAGATGGTCGTCTATGTGAAATAAATTCTCAATTTTGTTTTGATTCAAGTAGTTCAATCGGGATCGGTTAGTGCAGTAGAGTATGCTGTAACGAATGATCTCGAGGACAAAATCTAATTAAAGTGGGGGATAGTTGTAACACCCGTTTTCTATAATGGATCAGTGTAGGGCATAAACGAGTCAAATGCATGGTTTTTGGGAAAAATCATGTGTCACGACATGACCATAGGGAGGTCACAACATGATGAGCAAATATAAGAATGCATATCCGGAAGAGTGTCACGACGTGACCATGGCTACAACCTAAGCCCATGATCTTTTAGGGTTTCTTTCGTTTTTAAGCCCCCTAATCTTGAATTTAGGGCTCCATTTCCAACATCCATTCCCTCCAAACAACCTTTTGGCAAAACTCTACCCTTCTAGAAGCTCTTGAGTTCATTTTGCAAGCTTTTGGTGGTTTTGAAGGAAGAAGAAGAAGTTTCGGTGCTTAGTTTCTCCAAGAAATCCCTTATCATCCTTATGTGCAAATTTTATGGACTTCTTGCAAGTCCTCAAACTCTCACATTTTTTGTATGCTTCTTAGATCTAGATTTTATTCCATATTTTTCCTCATTAGTGAAGTTGGAATGGGTAGAAGAGATAAAGTTTGCAACTTTATGATTTCTCTGAGTCCCAAGAACATTATATCTCATAGATATAGGATGTGGTTGTGGTTTGGGGACTTTGGATGAACTTTAGGTCATACTTCATCTTTGGACCTAGATTTGGGAAAGTACATGCATTTCCATAAAGTTTACATTTTTTAGGGACACTACAAGAAAAATGTGATTTTGCTAAGAAGGAATCCATTGCAAAAAGTTGAAATTTCGTTGCAAAATATGTATATCGATGAAATTTGCAACGACTGATTTCCATCCCAAAAAAAACCCTGTAGCGAGGGTTTGTGAGGGAAATAATCATTTTTTTGCAAACGTGGCAACAAAATGAAATCCATTGTAGATGGTATTCTGTCATGTATTCCGTTGCGAATTATGTGGTGATGAATCCCTAGCAAAATTTGTGGTGATGAATCCCTAACAATATATGTGGTGATGAATCCTTAACAAATTTTGTGGTGATGAATCCCTAGAAAATTTTGTGGTGATGAATCCTTAGCAAATTTCGTGGTGGTGAATCCTTAGCAAATTCCATGGTGGTGAATCCCTAGCAAATTCTATGGTGATAGCAAATTTCGTGGTGATGAATCCCTAGCAAATTATGCGGTGTATATTCTCTAGCAGATTCCATAGCAAATTACGTAGACATGCTTCTGTAGCAATGATTCCATAAACACTGATGAATAATTAATTTAGAAATTAAATCTAAATTATTTTGTAGTAATATATAAAAAAACAAAAATAAGAAGAAAATCAAATAACATTTATATCATTAAATAAAACAATAATTATTTATTACATAGAAATGGAAAGCAGCTACTCTAAAATAAATATTTTGCAATAAACATATCAACAATTTATAACTAACTAGTTTTGTTGTTCTCTAAAAGCATTAATAAGAGTCATTGTCAATTTTAGTTGTTTATCAAGCTGCTCGACTCTTAAGCTCTTCATTTTGCTTTTTTTTTTTTTTTTTTTTTTTTTTTTTTTTTTTTTGTATAGCAACAAGCTCCCTCAATTCTTCCATTTGATCTTTTTTTTTCGGAATGTAAGATACATTTGTTTTCCCGTTAGTCATGGGAACCGTCTTTGTAAGAGAGCCTAATTCATACAGTTTTTTTCCATGACCACCAACAACATTGTCATCATCAAGTTCAACACCTTGAGCTTCGGGCTCTTCCCGTTTTTCTGTATAGGTTGCCTACAAAATAATAATAATAATTTAAATTAAAAGATGTCAAAGTTATGAATGACATGGAGGACTAGCTACAATATAAAACTTTAATTGCACTGAAATGAATATTTTATGAATTTGTCTATCTTTTTCAATTGTAAATGTGACTCTATCATGATTCTTCGTGTGTATATACATGAACAATTCACTATGGACAAGAACAATTCACTATGGGGTGTGTATATACAGGAACAATTCACTATGGACAAGAACAATTCACTATAGGGTGGAGCACGTTCTAATTTCATTTTCTGCATAAATATCATAAAATATAAAATATACACATAAACATAAACATTGATGAATCATTAAAAAAAACTTACCAAATCAAAAGTTATCTTTAAATGATTTACGAATCCAACGTTATGGGTAGGTTGTGCTATTCCATCAATTACACCGTCACACCTATCTTTAGTTAACTTTTAAAGGAACAAAAAAACCTATTTAAGATCCATTGCACCAAAATCGACATCATGGGTTGAAACGACAATAGCATTCAAGTACACTAACGGTTTTGGTGCGAAAAACCATTATAATGTACATCAACCGTCAAATACTTAGTTGGTGTTGAATGAGAGGTCATCTCCTTCACAATAACAATCGCATCCAATACTTGTCTTCAATTTTGTAACCCTAATTTAATGAGAAAGATTTGTATCAATTACGTCTATGATCCCTAATTTAATGAGAAAGGGGTGAAATGTGCTCTAATTCCACTTAATATGACATGTCGGTCTTAATTATACGATTTAAAAATAGAGAAACCGGCAAAAAAAAATTGATACGGTCGTAGGGGTTATGACGAAGAGGAACCATAACTTCAATGGTACAAGTAAAAAAAAAAGCTTCCCCTTTAAATATATTCATTTCAAAGACTCAAAAGGATAAATACTGATGGGTGTTTGGTTTGTTTTTTTGAAAGACAAAAGAACTTTTTGAAAAAGATAGAAGGAAAAAGATGTTTGGTAAAAGTATTTTAAAAGCTACTTTTAGGATTTTGATATAAAAAGAAATAACTTTTTGGAAAAGTCAGGTTACCTCTTTTTTTAACTTTTGGGAAAAAACAAAGCCAAAAAATAACTTTTGGGAAAAAGATAAGCCAAACACAGTCAAAAAGATAAAGTCAAAAGATAAGCCAAACACAGTCTCACAGCATATTCAAAATTGGAAGTCCTTACTTGAGGAATTGAGGTTATTTTTTGCAATTCACCTATTTGACATCGAAAAGGCGGGGAACAGCAAACCAGTTATCAAGAACGACCTATTCGGCGACCATCAGTTAGCTTACGCCTTATGGAAATCGACGATGAAATGATCAAATCTAAAGGTATCCTTGTAGTTTTTGCCAAAATAGTTGTTCCTATTCTTTATGGGCTGTGTTTCTTGTAACAATTTTTCATTTGTGAATTCTTGAATCTCTATGTCAAACCCATGTTCCTATCCTTTTTGGGTTTTGTTTTACAGGGGAAGAAGAAGATAAGAAAAAGCCCATAGTGGTAATACTAGTCGGCGCACCTGGAAGTGGCAAATCGACCTTCTGTGATCACGTTATGCGGGTTTCTACCCGACCCTGGGTCCGCGTTTGTCAGGTCCTTCTCTCTCGCATTCCAAGTGTTCGATGAAATGTCACATTGATTTTATGTTCATTATCTGGCACACTGTTTTGGTATCACATTGATTTTAGGGCATTACACATAACTACCAATTTCCATCACTAAACGTAATCTCACACAGGACACAATTGGGAATGGCAAAGCTGGAACAAAAGCACAATGTCTAGCTCTCTCCAACACCTCGTTAAAACAAGGAAAAAACATACTAATCGACAGGTGTAATCTTGATAAAGAACAACGTGCAGATTTTGTCAACCTTAAAAACTCTCATCAAGTAGACATACACGCCATTGTTCTTGATCTTCCTGCAAAGCTTTGTATCTCTCGATGTATAAATCGAACTGGACATGAAGGAAACTTACAAGGTGGAAGAGCTGCAGCTGTGGTCAATCGTATGCTTCAAAAGAAAGAATCACCCAAAATCAATGAAGGGTTTACACGAATAACATTTTGTTACAATGAAAACGATGTTCAATCTGCCATGGATACTTATGGATCACTTTCTTCCATAAATACCCTTCCATCCGGCTGTTTTGGAGAGAAAAAGACAGATTCTAAAGTCCAAGTTGGTATTATGAAGTTCTTGAAAAGAGTAGATGCTCCAAGTAAACTAGCATCTGACAAAACTGACAAAACTGAAAAAACTGACAAAACTACCCCTGGGACATCAAATGATAATACCACTCAAGAAAACCATCCTGTTAATGAAGGTAAGGAGAAAAAAATACCCTTTGAGAGTGGGACCCATGATGGGGTCCCAACTTTGGCATTTCCTTCTATATCCACGTCAGATTTTCAATTTAATATTGAAAAGGCTTCTGAAATAATAGTTGAGACAGTTGAGGAATTTGTGAACAAGATTGGAAATGGGAGGCTTGTTTTGGTGGATTTGTCTCATGGATCAAAGATATTGTCTTTGGTGAAAACTAAAGCTGCTAAGAAGAATATCGACTCAAAAAAGTTTTTTACTTTTGTGGGAGATATTACAAAGCTTCAATCAGGAGGCTTAAAGTGCAATGTGATAGCTAATGCTGCAAACTGGTAAGTTTTCACAAGTTTTCTAGGGTTGTTTTCAATAATGAAAATAAGGAGGGCATTTATGTCTTTTGCAGGAGACTAAAACCTGGTGGTGGGGGTGTAAATGCTGCCATATTTGATGCTGCGGGACCCGATTTAGATACTGCAACTAAACAACGAGCTGGATCTCTTACCCCTGGAAAAGCAATCACTATCCCTCTTCCTTCAACATCTCCTTTGTTTTCTAAAGAAGGTGTGACACATGTCATACATGTTCTTGGGCCAAATATGAATCAAAAAAGACCAAATTGCCTCAAAGATGACTATCAAAAGGGATGTAGAGTTCTTAAGGAGGCTTACGTGTCTCTTTTTGGAAACTTTGAATCTATTGTGAGAAATCAAGAGAAATTATGTAAGCATTTTGATGGTGTTTTGAATAGTGGTGTTGAGAAGGTTAGGAGAGAGGATGATGAAGTTTGTGGCACTGAGAAAAACAAGAAATTTAAAGGTTTTGTCGAAGAAAAGGAGATGGGTGGAAAGGTGAATAAGGATTGGGGTTCGTGGGCTCAAGCACTTTATAAAATCGCTATGAATCCTGAGAAACATGGGAATGATGTTATTGAAATATTGGATGATGTTGTGGTTTTGAATGATGTTTACCCAAAGGTTGTTTTTTATCTCTTAAGACACAATAGGATGAATTTGTACTATGTTTGATCTACATTGGACTGGTACTTTGTACTTGAATTGGGACCGATGTCCCAAAAAGGTGGGACAAAAGCTGCAGCTTTTTGTCCCACCCAAAAAGTTACTTGGTACTTGAATTGAGACCGGTGTCAGTCTCAATTCAAGAACCAAGTAACTTTTTGTCCTAGCTAGCTTTTTGGATGGACCATCTTGTTCCAAACTCAAAAAGCTAGCTAGGACAGACACTGTCAAACTCATGATCAAGAATAACCCTAAAAAGCTTGAAAATACAGGCACAAAAGCATGTTTTGGTGGTTACTCGAGTTAAAGGTCTTGAGAGTCTTTCAGATGTAGGTGAGGAACACCTTCCTATATTAAGAACAATGCATGATGTGGGTTTGAAGTGGGCTCAAACATTTTTAAAGGAAAATGAATCATTGGTATTTCGCCTTGGATACCATTCGGTATGTGGTGCTTTCATTTCTTTCTATTACAATTTATTTAAAGATGAGGTGTATTTTGATTCCGATTGTGGTTTGTTTGTTTGTTTGTTTTAGGCGCCTTCAATGAGACAACTACACCTTCATGTGATAAGTCAAGATTTTGACTCCAAACATCTCAAGAACAAGAAGCATTGGAACTCATTCAATTCTTCATTTTTTCGGGATTCGGTGGATGTGATTGAAGAAGTGAGGGAAGAGGGGAAACCTAAATTAAACGATGATGAGAAATTCATGTCGATGGAGTTGAGATGCAACCGGTGTAGAAGCGCACACCCTAACATTCCTCGCCTCAAATCACATATTGCTATTTGTAAATCACCCTTTCCTGAAAATTTATTGCAAAATGGTCGCTTGTTGCATGCTCCTACAAAAGTGTAATCTCCTTACCCCAAGTTTTGTGTTAAAACTTGTACTTGAACTTGTTCAAAGTTCTTTTTTCCTACTTATGGTAGATGTATGAGGAAAGATTTGCATGATGTGCTTAGTTCAAGTTTAAATATTATGACACTTTTGCATGCCATTGTCATCATGCTAATGAAAAGTCGCATGAAAAGACATGAAATAACATAAACAAGTTATGTGCATTACATTGGATCGAGACTGAAGTCAAATCAACAAAATTTACAAGTTTTCCCACCAAAACAGGAAAAGAACTCTCTTGAATAGATAACACCATCTCAATAATTTTATTAATTTTGATTAGGAGATATTCAATTTTAGCAAGAATGTTGTCTGAAGTAACTTTTGGATTAGAACTACTTTTGAACAAAAGTTTTTCTTTAATTCGAGTGTTTTTCAAAACCTAAAAGCTAAAATCTACTAAACAAGTTCAAAACCTCTCTTACCCACATACCTTTTTTCGCTAATGTTGATTTCATACTATTTCTATAAAAGCTTTGTTTATTCATGGTGAAGTACCTAAAACACTAAACAATAATATAAAATCTACTAAACAAGTTCAAAACCTCTCTTACCCACATACCTTTTTTCGCTAATGTTGATTTCATACTATTTCTATAAAAGCTTTGTTTATTCATGGTGAAGTACCTAAAACACTAAACAATAATAAAGCAACTAAAAATCATCTATCAATTTGCTTTTAGACAATGAACTCCTAGGTATTATTTGTTTTTTCTAAGACAAAATGTCTACAGTTTGCGGACTATATCTTTAAACCTCTACAGTAGAAGAGGTGGATCAAACGTCTGTAATCTGAAAGAAGAATAATTTTTTTAACATCTGCAGACTGCTACAATAAACTAAAATCTAATTAAACCGGTTTTTTTTTTTTTAACTTACAAGAATTCTTGGTATATCAAAACTAGCAACTTTTGTCTAAAATGGGTTTGACTTACAAGGATGGTCCAATAGTTTCGTTTTGTTGAGAGTTTAATCCAATTTCCTATGTATAAATTTTCTAAATCCTAAACTTGTAACCATGAAAGAGCTCGAGTTTAGTGGTATAGAATGGAATCCCAAATATACACAAATCTAAACACACACATAAAGATACAAAGATCTGCATATTTAGGATGTGAGTGGAGTATAAATCGTCATCTGAACACTAAATTCTATCCTTCTCCATTTTCAAGATCTGTTGAGTCGTCCATCGTGTCTCTCCTTTGGTGACACCGTCTTCAAGATCTGATGAGCATGAAATGGTGACGATAAGAAAACTAGAAATGTTCAAATCTTGATGATGGTTAAGGATGATAAATATTCTTCTTCGGTATGAGGATATTCATCTGAAATCCTAAACGACGGCTGAAACTCTAAAAACTAGAAGGGTGGCGGCTGACACCCTAAATACAAGCACACACAAAACCCTAACGATACACCATCTCTGATATGTTTTGTCCTCAGTCATTTCGTCTTCGGATTTGCCAATGATTTTTAGGGACGATGAAGTGATTCAAGTTTAGGTTTAGGTTTCATATTAGAAATCGATTCAGGTGGTGGTAAAGGGTCTTGAAACACTGACAAGGGTTTCAGATCGATGGTGAGAGGGATAATCGGAAAAGGACAACTATGACGGTGCTCTTCCAGATCTTCACGGGGCTGCTAGGCAGGTGATGAAGGCCATCAAACGGAGATCCATTGAAGATGGCCATGAGCGGCGGTGACATGGATTAGATATCCAAAAAAACCCACCTTGGAAACACCTATGGAGTCGATTTTCAGAAACTCACCCCTCGTTTTTTCATAAATTTTCAAAAACATTCATGAAGTCGATTTCCTGGGTTTTCATCATTGCTTTATGGGTTTTTGAGAGGCGATGATGGAATCATGGAGATTAGATCCAAGAACACCGGAATCTGATATGTACAAACCCATCTTGATTAAGAATGAAAAGATGAAGAAGATGAACTACTCTTGGTTAAAAAGAAAAAAATGTGGGGGGAATACGGTGGAGAGAGAGAGAGGGTATTTTACTTTTTTTTAATTTTTATTTGTTTTTTAATTGTTGTAATAAAAAAAAAATGGAAAATAAAATAATAAAGGGCAAATCTGTCATTATAAAAAAGTTCATAGAAAAATAGACCAAACTCGCAACAAAACGAAACTATTGGATCATACTTACGAGTCAAACCCATTTTAGACCAAACTTGCTAGTTTTGACATACCTCAGGAACCATTCTTGCAGTTTTGTCTTTTTTCTATAATTTTATGATTTTATTATAGATAATTAACAAATGTAAATCAACTTTTATGTATTATTATATAAAAAGCGAAAATAAAATGATATGAACTAATGTATATATTTGATAAAAACCAATAATTTTTTATCGTAAAGACATAGCTAAAAATTGTAATTAAGAATAAAATAATTTAACACTTAAAATGGATGGAAATAAATTTTGATTTTAAATGAAATTTTCAAATTTCTTATTTTACCTTTTCAATTAAATCAATTAAAAATTGGTCATAAATATTTATCTCAAGAAATGAATAATATTTACATTAAATAATGTTTTATAAAATTTGATACAAAAAATATAAGACTATTACGATTTTTTTATATCTATATAAAAAGTTCTAACAACCATTGTTGCAATTAAATCTTTATTTATAAATTCATCACAAAAGCCATGATTGTATCCACAAATCTTTTCTTTAAGTATTGTAACTTTTTTTTTCCAAATTGTTTATGATAGATAAAGTTTAAATAAATCTCTCTCTCTCTCTTTATATATATATATATATATATATATATATATATATATATATATATATATATATATATATATATATATATATATATATGACTAGAAGATGTTTGAAAATATTTAAAAACTCTGATCCACATCAGCCACAAGAAAAGAACACGCAGACTTTTTTAGATCCAAAAAAACTAACAATCTATGAAGCCTTAATTGTCTACGCGTGGTCTGCGCGGCGCCACGGACAGAAGAGGCTGCAGAAAGAAAACAAACACCACCCTAAAATGTTTATTGTTTCTTTTTCCAATCATGTGAAACAAATAATGACTTGGAACATTATATTTCATTTTGTACCTATAAGGGACTTTTTGGTATCCCCAAATCATAACCATAACATTTCACATTTACAATATATAGGCCAAATGCCCGATGTCCTATACACTCTTTCTCCAAAAACTATCATTAAAAAAGAAAACCCAAAAATGTTCACTTAAGTGTAGGTTTTTGCCTTGTCTTACTAAACTGAACATCCCCATTAAGAACCGAACCCACAAATCTCTCCACTTCCTCAAAAGTCACATCCCCTGTAAAAGCTGAAAACTTTGACTTACGTGATTTATACGCCACCAATAACATATCCACTGATTTAAACCCCGATTTATCAAAAGCATATAAAAACGACGACTGATTTGAAGCATCCAAAAGTGCATAAGAAACCGAATCCCTTGGACCCGAAGCTGCATTTTGTCTCCTCAATAGCGACTTCTGTGACACCTAAATTCACATCAACAAAAAAAAATATTAACTCATTGCAATTTGACCTTTTGAAAAAAGTCAAAAAAACAAAGATAACTTACAGATGAGAGTATCTTATGAAGCTTTTCCCTTCCTTTACCCGATTTAAAAACACCAATAACACAAACCGGTGTTTTTTCCCCACAAATCAGATCAAAATTTGTAGCCCTCAACAATGGGATCCCTTCATTATCTGAATTTGAACCTAACTTCCTGTTTTTCTTCTCAAATCCATCAAACAACAAACCAAGTTCCTTAATTGTTGATTTCATATCTTTTACATGAATCCCACTTTTCAAAACCTTCATCTCTCCATTCGATAACAAACCAATCACAGCCGGAAGTTTATCCACTCCTAGTTTTTCCACCAACGGATCAGAAACATCTTTCACTTGTGTGTCATAGAAGATGAAACGCTTCCGGAACATTCCGGAAAGTGCACGCCATATAACGGGAGTGTCTTTTTTAGTAGAAAGAAGGATGAGTTTTGGTAAAGATTCAATTGTGTTGAATTTGGTCTCGAATTCAGTCAATGGGACACGTTTTGAGAATTTCGGAAGGTGATCTTGAACAAATGATTTTAAGTCTTTTAGGGTTCCATCACCAGTGTACTCGATTAATGAACCAATTTCTATTGATTTATATGAATAAATGTAGACACGTGGTTTATTCTTAGGGCGAACACCGAGTTCTTTACAAAAAGATGATTCCACTTCACAATTCACACTTCCCACCTAGAAATTTTCACATGTTGAAATTTTTAACTTTTTTTTTTTTTTCAAAAAATGTTTAAAGCAAAAGATTTGATTGTAGTAAAATAGTAAATTACCTCTAATGCCCCTTTGAGTGAGTTTCCAATTTCCTCTATGATTGATTCAAAGTGTTGTGTACCCTTCATTGATGGGGTATAAGATAAAAAGAGCCATGTGACTCCTTTTTCAATTACCTCTTTTTTATACAATTGAGAATTAATTGAAACCATGTTTTTAGGAGAACTCCTAGCACCACCACCAAATCCACCAAACTGACTCCCACCGCCACCCATGCCACCGCCCATTCCGCCACCAAAGAAGTTGGAAAAAACGTCGCCGACATCGAAACCAAATGGACTATCGCCGCCACTTCCGCCAAACGAAAACGAGTATGATTTTGACCCGCCGCTTTGACCGCCCATTGTCTGCCATTCATCCGGTGAGAATGTGAACCCGCCGCCGTGTCCTGGCCCACCGCCGCTTCGGAAGTAGGTATGGCCGCCGTGGGCTCCGCCATCGAATCCCGGGTTCCCCCTTGCGTCACCGTACATATCGTAATTTTTTCTCTTTTCTTCATCGGATAAAATTTCATATGCTGATGAAAAAAGTAAAAAAAGTAAATTTCATTGCTATATTTTTTATTTTTATTTATTTGGGGGATCACCATACCGTTATTTATTTCTTCAAACTTTTCCTGAGCGCCTTTATTTTTGTTCTTATCGGGGTGATATTGAAGAGAGAGCCTAAAAAAGAAAAATGATAATTTTAGTATGTAGAATCATTGATGTGTAGCTAAATAATAAAAGGGGTA